CGTCTTATTTGTTTACTTTGTTGAAATTAAATAAATAAATCAATATCTAAAACTATTTTGTATTTCATTTCCTATTATGTTTATAGGTATTTGTTTAAAATTGGTATAAGAAATCTAACCCAAATTATTACAAAATGCTATTCGAGTCGCTTCACTAATTTATACAAGAGTTTGACCATAATAATTTGGAATTTTTCGTAACTAAAATATGCGAAATACTTTGGCCACAAGGAAGACCCTTTATTCAGGGTTTGATTATAAATCAAATAATCTTAACCCTTAGAATAAGAACTAAAGAAAAATGTGGATTCGTTATCTCATATACTTTTATAGGTAAATTAATTTGCATTATAAGATACAGATAGCTATTTTCAACTTTTACTTCTATCATGGTTTCTATGCTTTAGTAATTATTCTAAGTGTTAAACACAAACCTCATGTACCTTAATAATGTTAACCTCTAAATGGTACTTAAGAGGTTAACTTTTCATAAATTTATTCCAGTTAAACTACTATTTATATTATGTAAGTTTATATGGGCTTCTAAACACGTGTGTAAAATTTTATAGATGTGTATAATTTGTTTTCTGGTTGTTTGTCCATGGTTGTCTCGCAAACTAAAACTTCAAATTGATAACATAATCCTTAGATCAAGATGGAGAACGTCAGTCAAAAACGCTCACACATTACATGGTGCTTGTTGCGGACAACCCCCTTACTCTCAAACGCAATAGTAACCGATCAACATTGCGATTGTTGAAACTAACGTTAGAATATGCTAGTGAACCAGTCAAGAGTGCGTAGCGGTACAATTGCAATGTCGATCGGTCCTGATTGCGTTCGAGAGTAAAAGGGCTGCTTACGAGCTCTTAATTGTCGAATTGACGCTAAAGTTGATAGAGGTCAGAACTCTAAAGACGCAAAAAAAGATCGAAGTGAAAGAGTACCGCAACTTCTTGAAAGCAGTGAGAAACAACTGGAATGAGTGAACTGACGTACCTCTTGTAAAGGAGACTCCCGAACTTCTGCGGAAGAAGATAAAAAATATATTAAAAACGCGACCTCATAATCCGAGCCATCACCAAAAACACATAGTAAACAGCATTGGAAGACTGACACTCTTGTTTTGATTAAGCGAATACGGGAGATAAAGGCCAAAGGCTCGGAACTTAAATCTGTTAATATCTGCTCACATTCAAGCTAAATGTAGACAAGACTTTAATGCATACTTTAGAAGCATGCACAATAAAAATGAAGCCCACGTCGAATATATGAATCAAGAGACCAATAATAATAGCCATGTGGTGAGAAATATAAACGAAATATCTGAGTTGTGGAAAACAAATTATCAGTCGTTATATCAGGACCCTCAAACGAGGGCTTTTCCATTAAACATTAAAAAAATCGAAAAGCCACAGGCAGTGATGCAATTCCAATTGATACCATAAGAGCCTTTAGGAGAGTACGATGTCAGCATGTTTCATACTATCTGCAACAGGATATGGCGGACTGGGATGTAGCCGACCGACTAGACTCACACACACAAAGGTTCAACTAGAATGTGTAACAACTATCGCCTCCCTTATATTGCATGCAAGCAAAATCATGTTACACATTCTAAACGAGCGACTAAAGGTATATCTCACCGGAGAATTTACATATTCATCATATGCCAGATTATCGAGAAGGCTAGAGAATTCAACAAACCGACAATTATATCATTTGTTGATTTATCATAGGAGTTTGACTCGGTGTAATGGTCAATGCTGTGGAGCACTGTGCTGGAAATGAGTGCACCTAAACATTTTGTTCATCTTTTACGATGACTTTATGAGGATGGCACAGAATCTGTTCGAACAGACGACATCTTGTCAGATAATTTCTATCCTAGTGCAGGTGTCCGACAAGGATGTATATTGTCACCACTCCTTTTCAATGTTTATACCGAGCTCATAATGAGAATCACTCTCTAAGACTGGACAGAGGGTGCCGCAATAGATGGTTAAAATATTGCAAATTTACGCTACATAAATGATACAACCACAGAAATATATCTAGTTAGAAGGAAAAAGTGTACGTACTTCGTGTGCCGAAACGACGTCTAGTCAGCTTCATTGCTCGCCGCGAGGGTCAGTCCACTTTCGATCGCAATCGGTGTTGGACGAAATTTAAAATGACGCGTTGTTCGATAATTACCTGCTCAAACACCACCAATATGGTTGGATCTTATAGTCGAGGTATTTCCTTCCATCTGTAAGTAACTATTTGCCTTGATATATCTATTTTGAATTAAAAATCATTAGTTTTGTTGCTCCGTATTATTTTTATCAAAACGGATCATGTGATCCAGTAATAGCTTTCCATTGCGGCTTTAATTTGACAGTCCAAATTTGCTGTGCTTGTAAAACCATCGATGTATAATTCAAGGTCAATTTGTTGGAGGACAAATTATCATTTTTTCTGTCAAAAATGGAGAATAGTGCTGTGCAATGCGATTTTTTTACCCGATTAAAAAATATCGTTTTTGAAAGCAGAAGAAATGATAATTAATTTTATATTGAATTATACTGTAATTTTTGTTTTAGTTTTCCGTATGATCCTCATATTGAAAATAAATGGATTGAAGCAACAGGACTCTAAGGCAAATAGTAGGTATACTTACTGGACATGGAAACTTTAACAAAAACCTTATATAACATGGGTTATTCTGACAGTCCTCTAAGCAGGGCGTGCATGGAGACTGGGGAGATTGTCTCCTCAGTCTCCATTCCAGTATCACATAAGCGCTTGTGCACTCATGTGATACTGGAATGCAGGAGCCTATTAAGACAAAAGGACTACATATCTATGAAGCCCAAGGATACTAGTGGAAGCATACGGCAGAGTTCGAGATCTTACGGGCTTCCTGGAGGAGCTGGGGTGGCAGGACTAAAGCAACCCCGTGTCATGCAAAATAGGCACTGAGTATCGAGTTGCAGAAAAGCCCGCCGTGAAACATAACATAACAACACAGGACGTAAAAATGTGTAGCGTGTCGGGAGGGGGTAGCGGCTACTACAAAGTGTTTGCCCACAGAAAAATGCCGATTTCTATTCTATCGCATAAAATCTTTTTTGCGCCGATTCACTAAATTACATTCGTGAGTTCGTGACATATACATAATATTTAAGCAAAATGGTAGTCTGTCTATAAGGTCATGAAAAAAATTGGGGCGCAACAAATGATTTTGATAGTAGGATTTTTTTTTTACTTTTATTACCCCAGAAAAGGTAAAGAAAGGCGTATAATTCGTAGACAATGAGTTTATTCTACATTGAAGATTACAATATAGTAATCGTAATTTTTGATAATTTTTTCTTTATAATTACCAAGTTGTTTTCTCGTTTTACTGCAATGTGTGCTTGTGTTCGATTAAAGCCTGTTACTTTGACACTCTTTGTAAGGAAACCTAATATATTTCAGAATTTAACGCAGGACTTCTAGGCTACAATTAAAATTCAGATCGGTTTTGGCAATCCACTGATGTTTTCTTCATGTAGGTACCTCTTAGGTCACAGAGTAAAAGAACTGAATCTTTTGTCGAAGTGCACAAATGTTGCAGTTAACCATTTATTTCTTAGGACGACTATCTATGTTTCCCAGGGGTTTCAAATATGCCACCATTTTTATAACCTTCATCTACAATACGTATCACTATATTCTCTGATTTTCCTGAAAGATAGTTTTAAAAATGTAATACCTATAGGTATTTGGCAAAAAGAATGGAATCGCCACAATGATCAAATTAATGCTATAATTTTAGTAATATAAAGCACAAACTTTTTATTGGCGTACGTAGGTAAAAATCGTACATTCCTAACAGGTATATTTTTTATTCAGATTAAAATCAATGATAAATTTGATTATCCAAAAGTATTAAAAGTTCGGGCCGCACTACAATATAGCCTTCTAACATTTTCAATCTAACCTATAAATGCATAATGTAAACAATACTTATTTTAGACTTAAATTCATATATTTAGTAAATTTGAAACTTCTGGTAACCAAAACTCAATCAGTAACACGATTACATACCAGCCATAACTGCCGTTCGAGCTTTAACATCCTACAAATATGATAAAATGTGTCCAGCTTCTTGTTCCAATAAACATCACTGAAAAACTTTATAAATAATATCCTGAGCTTCACTCTGATTAATTCTCTTCATTTTTAACACTTTTCGACGGAGTTTAGAAGAAGTAGCTTCAGTTTAATCAAAACAAATCAAAAATGCAGAAAATCGAGCTAAAAAATCAAGTTGTTGACAGTCGATGTACTTTGATTCAGTGTTGTCATACTTGTGTCTAATGTTAGTTCCTCAAACATTCTTTTCATGACTTTATAGACAGACTGTACACGTTGGTCTCCGTCGATCGATATCGTTTTTTCAATCGATAAGAATCGGTATGCCGTTTCAAATACAACATGTATTCGATGCAAGTGAAATTATGTCTTCCATCACTAAATTAAGATCGTGACGTCATGATACCTACACAAAATGTGGCACGCTCGGTCTTCATATAAATCGACGAACATTTTCCTTCTAACTAGATTTATTTCTGTGGATACAACCCTATTGGCATCCATTGTAAGCCGTGTTCAATGCAGAATGAACACAAATTCTTTTGCAAAAAAATGATTTAAAAAGTTTTGCCGTTTTTGGCGGTCTTCTCGAACTTCTTGATTTTTGAAACGCGTGTGGGCTATAGCCACAAATATTAAATAAATTATTATTAAGTAGTTTTAATGGCTAAATATTACGAATTATAAATTAAACTAATGTAACACAAAGTGTGTAAAAATAATAAATTCTTTCTTATGTTTACAAGTGCGATGTTTTTATTTTATAATCAGTGAACTCAAGAAACGACCTATGGATAAATATTTAACATTGAGCGTCGCACACAACAAGCCGTATGGAATAACTGCTTCTGAAAATGGAACGTGTGAGCCAAATGCTTGATGATTAATCGCAATAAAATAAAGATGATGATCATGGATTGTGCAAAAACAACTTGCCCGAGATAACTCAGATTGCAAACTGTGATGTAGAAACCAAATATGTATATTTGGAGGCGTTAATTTAAGTGATGGTGGTTGCATTGAGGAAGTAAAACGACGTATGACTATACAGACCTGCCATGGATGAGGAAAATTTGGAAGAACTACAACATCACGAAATACTCTAAAACCCGCAACATATTTATAAGATCCCGCACAGATATTTATAAGAAAAATATCATGTATGGTAAGAGAAAATTAGCATTTCTGATAGCGCTGTTTTAATTCTTACTAATGACATAGCTGGCACCGACCTCAAAAAAATTGTTGGTGCTTTTTGTGTTTCGATTGTATTGAAGGTGAATGTTTGTGGTATTATTACTCTTTTCAGTCGTTTTTTTATATTACGATTTTTTGAAGTTGGTAAATTTTTTCCTTAATTGTTTTATCGATTTAGTTTTAAAATTTATAGTGTTTCATACAAAATGTTAAATGTTAATTAGAATTGTATAAATAATACCTCAAATATTAAGTCCGCCTTTATACGTTTGTGTAGGTATGAAAAGGAAATAAATAATAAAATAAATATGGTATTTTATTATTACAACATAGGTAATCCTGGAAGGCTAGTTAATTCATCTGACATTTTTTTTAAATCGTCTAGCATTACATCTTGATCATCAAGAAGATTTTTTACTAAAGACAAATGTGATGATAAATCAAATGAGCTTTCATTGTTCTCGCTTTGTGTACGGAAAGTATTATTCAAATTGTCCATTAAACCATTTTTACAAGGTTCATCAATTTTCAGAGCGTTATTTTCCATTATTTTTACTAGTTTATTTTTTAACATATTATTTTCTTTATGAAGTTTAGAGTTTTGGTATTGAATATTTTTTAATTCCGTCGTTATTCCATCTATGTTTGTTCCTAATATATTGATTTTGTTATTAAGAAATCGATTTTTTTGTTCAATTTGAAGGCAGGTTTCTTTTTCATTGCAATAATCGGCATAATATTGTCCACAAGAGAGAATAATTTCTTTCAATTGAATAACTGTTGTTGGGTTGTCTAACGAAATATTTCTCATCTTTTGCAGCTCTACATATCCAAGATTAATAAATTTGTGTAAATGTTCTAATTTCTCACGTAAAGCTTTGTTTTCCGATTTAAGATTTTCCGTCATTTCTGCATTTAATTTATTTCGTATATAATAATCAGCACATTCATCTCTGATGGTGTTTATGTCATCATGCAACGATACCGTCTCACTTTCCTTTGCAGACATTATGGTTTTAGCCACAACTGAAATGAATAGAAAATATTATAAATATGATATTTTTAGGAAAAGTTTAGTAATAAAAGTAGAGCACATGTCATGTCATATATTAACTTGCGTCGAATAGTCTCCGACACTACTGAACGAAAACGTTTCCATACGAACTATTGTTTACTATTCAATTCTAAGCTTGGACTAATATATGGGTTACTTTTTATCCCTCTAAACCTTCCCTAGACCACGTGGGCGAAGCCGCTGGCGCTGGCTGACAGACAGACGTATGGATGAAAAAGAAAGACAAACAAAGGATCGTGGATTCCTATATAGGTTGCGTTTTTCCTTTATCTAGACGGATAAAAATAAAAAGCACATTTTTTAAATGGAAAAGCATAATAACAGCTGCAATTACGTATATCAAGCTTGTCCTGCGCGGATCAGTTATTTTATATATTGAGACATGACACTTATTAATGAGGCAAAGGATACCATATCAATCGCACAAACGTCCATTTAGGTTTAATAACGACTTTAAGCTTTAATAAATAAATCTAAATTTGAAATTTTGGATTGGTTATCGTTCAGTTACACAGACGTTCATTAAGGTTTAATAACTTCTTTAAGCCTTAATGAATGTCAAATTTGTATGGATAATGTCGTTTTCAATTAATGAAAATTTTAATTGATATTTGTGCAACTGGCTGTATTTCGCTTTAAATTAATGACAATTTAATGGACGTTCGTGCAACTGGCTGTAAAATAAGTAGTTTAAAATACAATGAAAAATGCTTAAAAATCCACTTTCTACCTGGCACTCTGAAATGGGACTCGAACCTATGACCTTTTTCAATCCGAGCGACTGCTCTAACCACTGAGCTACCCAGGACCTAACACGACTAACGAATATTTCAAGCACTTGTTACTTTTTCGGTTCTACAGTAAAGCTATATTTTGGTGTATAGCATTGTGAACGCAAAATTTTAAAAAACTTCTTACTGCATGCTTTCTTCAAATTTTCTTTTAGTTTTTTAATTCGTTTCCTTTTTACTCGAAGGTCAGACTTACATAGACTTAATTTCTCATACAATTGTTCATTATCACTGAAATTGTGACATGACATTGATGTGCTAGCATGGTATCTGAAAAATATGTGTATATATACATAAGTATCATTATGTGGCATCGGCCGCGTATATATAGCTTCCCGTATGCGAAAGACTTTTAAAACCAGTACTTTCGGAGCCTATTCAATAAAACAAACAAATATTTTCTCTTTATATTTTTAGTATAGATAAAGTAGTTTAGCAATATTTGAAACTATGTAAGAATTTATATTTAAAACGCAACATGTTCCAGTATTTCAATACATAGTCAGGTGAGAATGATATTTACTAACTTACTTTTCCATTTCAAGGGCTATGGCCGATAACGCAGATATCATTTTGTTTGTAGCCACATTTGTAAATTTTGGTAGTTTCGCTAAATGGATGACTTCAATTTTTTCTTTGTTCATTGTTTTTAAACCATATAAATATTAAAATTAGATTAACACAATATATTTAAATCAAAAGACATTCACTTTGAAGTCACTTAAGCACATGATCTTGAAGATTTTTTGAATCAATCTATTTTTGTTATATTGTAAGTTAAAAGTTTAAAAATTGCATGTAATTTTTTACATATAAATTGTTTATTAAATAGTTAAAAAAATAAAGAAACTTGAAGGGAAAATATAAAGTCAGATATCAAAGAGTATGTAAAATATAAAATACTAGGACTATATAAGATTTTCTCTATGAAAATACTAAAACGTCAAAACGTATGTGTTATTTTTATTGAAAGATTACAGTTTTGGTTTTGGCCAAAGCCAAGAAAAATGCTTTTAGTTATTATTCTTAGAGCCAATGAATTTTTCTACCTACAATAGTTCATGTTCTTCGAAATCATAATCAAAAAGGACGAGGTTCTATGTTCGTTGGATACATATGTTTTTATTTATGTTATTGTACATAATATTCATTAATTTCTTTGCGAATTTTAGTTCTATTTTTATAATAAGTTTTTTTCGAAAGCTTTCGAAAGCTAAAAATAAGTCTATAGGATGATGCCTGGGTAAATATTTAGTCCGTCAGTCAGATGATAGAAATATATAAGATACTCCAATTTAGATATCTAAGTCAGCCTTTCCCAAAGTGGGCAATAACGCCCCCTTGTGTGCGCTGCAGGCCAAAATGGGGGCATTACTTAAAGGCTTAGGAAGAGTTAATTTGAGACTTGTGTACTATACATACTAAGCTCAGATCTCAAGTTAACTCTTGCGGGTTATACATAGTAACAATCGGTCCCTGAGTTGATCATTTAAAGATCATTTAAAATTTAAAGTTACATAAGCACGTCTCATCAAATTATGTCAAAATGTCATTTAAACAGGTTTTCATTTCTGATTTAATTTTTTTTTATAATCTTTTGATAGCAGTTTGATAAAAACTGCGACTTTATGCCTTGTGAAAAGTAAAAAACTTAAAATTCTTAATTAAAAATGTAGCATTGTGAAAGCAAAATTGACCAAATATAATAAAAAGCTTAAGTTATTGGAAATACCAGTTGAGATTTTACACTTTCTTCAATTCACTTTCTTTTATAATTAATAATTACTTTATTTCATGGGTTCAATTCCCATCTCAGAGTGCCAAGGACAAAGTGAATTTTTAAGCATTTTTTCATTAATATTATTTTTCAGTATTGTGAATGCAATATTAATCGAATATAATAATAATTAATTTAATTTGGAGTTATAGTGGTTTTAAAAATGGGGGCGCTAAAAATAATTTATTCTCAAAGTGGGCAGTAGACGGAATAAATTTGTCAACTACTGATCTAAGCTATTAGATTCAGGCATTAAAGTTAAAGAGTGGGGGCTCGCTACGTCACAACTATGTAGAAAATGAAAGGTGTAAACATTTCACCTCAATTCGCAATCGCCGTTGATTACACAAGGTCGCCGTCCCTATTCGTGGAGAAGTTAATTATATAACATACTGTGAGCCTATTATTATTATAGTGATTCTTTTTACTTTGATTAATAAAGAAATACTTGTAAAATGACTATGACTGAAATTAATAAGTGTAGTATTGACTTGAGAATGTAATTGTATGAAATGTTACTATTTAAAACACGTAATTTCCATGATCACACATATTCATGTATTTGTATTCGTATTACTTATTGTATTTTATTAATATTGTTACAAATAAACGATTAATATTAATCGCTGCATATTAAAAAGTACGATATTGATTTAAGTATGCAATGTTCAAAAATGGTATGTACTAATTATAAAAAGTAATTTCTAATGTCGTTCAACTATATGTTTGTGTATTTCTAACAGTTAGTTATGATTAAACAAACTCAATTTACAATCCTAAATTAGAATATTGATTGTATTGAAAACGACATCTTGCGAAAAAGTTTTTGTGATTGTTGGCAATGGAATAAAAAGATGGCAGAAATGTAACACGAATGAACGGCGAGTCAGTGTGGAATAAAGTGTTTTTCAAGTAATATTGGTGTAAATTACTGCATCGTCCCAACTTTTGAGTACGGCCAATAATACATAAAACATACATACCCATCGTATTTAGAACCTCTTCCTTTTGAATTAGCAGGCTAAAAAGAGATTTAGCCTTTTTTAGGACGATTTCAATGATGAAACTGAATGGGGTTTGTAGGTAATATTATATTCAAACATCTTAAATTAATTAATAATTCATTTTAATAAGTATAATACGAAAAAAAATATCCATCAAATGCTCAACGAAGCTCAGCGTGTATTAATTTTAATATTCTAAAAACAGTATATTAAATATAAATTTATTTATTTCCAATTTATTCAGTATAAATAAAATGTCCGTCCATAAAATAAAAAGGAATTCCTCTTGCCTTTGGCTTGTGATGAAAATCATAACAGCTAAGGTTTTACGGCGTATCGGCTCGTAGGCATGATGGTTATGAGGATTGTTTGGATCCTTGAGGCCTTTATACGGCACGCCTATTATTAACTTTTGTTATAGAAAGAAATAGACGAGGTTCAAAACAGATTTAATATTACTATTACCAATGATATTACTACAATGATTAAATTGTCGTAACAGCATTTAATGAGTAAAAATTATCTTAATTCCACTCGATCACTACATAGTATGAAACAAAGTCGCTTTCTCTGTCCCTATATCCCAATGTATGCTTAAATCTTTAAAACTACGCAACGGATTTTGATGCGTTTTTTATCATAGATAGGGTGATTCAAAAGAACAGTTTTTATGTATAATACAAGATCACGCAGGCGAAGCCGCTGGTGGAAAGCTAGTCTATGCAATAAATACAAGTACAACTTTTTGTGCTATCTATATATATCAACAGAAATTGAATTTGAAGAAACATTGTTCATATATTATTTAATTTTATAAGTGTTTCGTTAAAAAAACAGGTTATCTGTATTAATCAAATGTTAAATGTTGTTTCCATATTTAGCCTGTCACGTCCGTTTGCAGTTGCTCTGTATTATTTATTAAGCTGGTGTACAGTGCGCGTATGGTGCGCTAGCCAATTTTCCGCCAAACGCCCCGGCGGGGACGCCCGCCCGCCATTCCGTTTGTTCGCGAGACAACCGCTTCGTGTGGTAACCATTTCACGCTCGATTTCTGTTGTGCCGCTAAAAATAAGGACGTATCTCCCGAACAATCTATTATATGGAATAGGGGAAAATTAGAAAAAGAAAACCATTCATTGGCAATTGGTTGCGTTTTCTTTGGCTTCTTTACACTTGAAAGTTATATAGATTGAAAGATTCTATATCGGGAACAATAATGTTCACTTAAACGGCGAAGTTTTTATTCAAACGTACCAGTGTTTGTAAAAGAAAATAAACAAGGCGGCGTAAACAAATGAAGCTCTGTGTTCGGAAATTCTTTTTCACGGACAATGCGAGTCTTTCGCTAAATGACAGATTTATTATACTTGTTCAGAAGAGGACCTAGTTGATGAATGAAAATGATTCACCAATATATTCTAAAGGGATCCCGATCTTACTTAGCCGTTATCCGCACGGTCGGTTTATTTCAATTTCCTTCATAAAAGACGCTATTCTCGGATTTGAAGTAGATTTATCATGCTTGGATAAAGCGGGCACTTTTTGTGCTTTTCTTATGCCTGGGTCTGACCCGAGATCTGTCCACTTAATGTGAATAATGGTGTGCGATGGAAAACGAATGCGAACCCAAACACAAAAGACAACAATGCGAAACGATTTCAAGACTGATACAAGGCTTTCGCTGATATTATACTCATAACAGCATGTTTTTCAAAGTCTCACAAAAAAACGACTAAACCTGCGCCTTTACTATCTTATATAAGATTCCAATACTACTTGATGGATTTTCAATGCTCCCAATAGCTTTTCCAGTCACTGACGGTTCCTTATTTTATACTTCACATTATATCTCATCTATTTTAAATAATATATGATCAAAATTTATCTACGTATGCACCATAATAAAATTAAAACTGCTACATAAAAGCATGCTCTATATTTATTGGTAATAGTGGAGATTACATTTGTTACCAAAATTTATGTGTATTTAATGGATGTGACATACTACGATTATATTTCCACATTTGCAATTTTTAAGTCTAGACTATAGAATTGCTTTCTTAGACCATGTAATTTTTGTCTGCAGGCTGCGTTAATAATAATTTAGTCTGTAGCCTCTGTTTGGGATTGCACTGTGGGACTCATGAGTCGAAATAAAAAAATCCTTTTATAGGAACTTTTTTGAGGGATAAAGTTAATCGAGAGAAAAATCTATATCGGGGGATATGGCAGTGCCCCCGCCAAGTTGAGCGCGAAGCAAACACTACCGTACCATCCTTTACTGGAACCATTTTGCCGCATTATCAGGACCCTATTAGAGAACCTCTGGATAAGACCAGAACGCAGAGATTTTCGTCATCTAGTTACCTATAATCACACACTTAAAATCAAATTTCAAGCCTGTAGGTCATTTAGTTCCGAAATTAAGCGAAAGCAAAGTTTCACATTTATGACACTCACTCACTTATAATCATCAGAATAGAACTAGTATGTACTTCCCATAAACTCAGACAGCTGTAATTTGGTTCAGAGTTAGGATTTAGTGGTCACTTATAGTGAAAACTATAAAAACTAGGATAAAAACTAATTATAACTACTAACTATAAAAATCCGATTTTTATAGTTAGTAGTTCTAGAGTACCTGGTGACCCTGATTAGAAAACACAAGAGTTGAGCTCTTGTGTTTTCTAATCAGGGTATTAAACCAAACCAAACTATTAGATATATAACATAATGTGTAAACAAAATGGACTTGTACCCACTAACGTATAATTATAAAGAATGTTCAATGGCCAAGTTACACAACATTAAATATAATAATAAAGAAATCGCAGTTAGGAACCTTAGACTTGGCTCGACTTTG